TAAAGATAGCTACTTACTCGATTATAGATTAAGGGAGAGCTAGAAATTAAGGGAGAGCTAGGAACTAAGGAAGTAGAGTAATAATATCCTACCTTAGGAGGTTTAAGCTATAAGCGGACGATCTCGAAGGTTTCGTAATTATCTAAGAATACGAGTAAACTACCCGCAAATTATACGCGTAATCGGTCGAAGCGTCGTTAATCTAAAAGGTTACGATAAGAATAAAGATAGTAGGTGCTTCGCAAGTTTAGAGAGGAGTTATTTTTAGTAGTTTTATTCGTTCCTTTAATAGATATCTATATAGTACTACTTTAATAGTCGTAAACGCATTATACGGGCGTATATCCACTTCTCGATCTATCTACTATATAAAGGGAGTGCCTAATATATAGTTATAGATATAGGCTTTAGACAACTTTACTTCTACGATTAATCTATCGATTAGGACTATATCTATATACTAGATAAAGAGGCTATATTAGAAGCGCCCGTACAATAACTAAAAATCACCGCTAACCTCTCGGAACGGTTATGTTCCGAGGTAGCGTAAGTAGTGTACCTTAGTTCTACTAAAAAAAGATTATTGCAGAGTTGTCGCTAAAAGCGCACCGTACGCCGACTCAAGCTTTTAGCAATTAAGACATCCGCATTACTGCCGCCTTGGGTGAAGCATATAACTTTTCCAATGCCCGATTCGCGTCCTTGGTCAATGCCGAGCACAAGAGGACGTGTGAGGGAGCTCGCATAAGGATCGAGGAGCTCGAGCATGAGCTCAAGGTTGCCAACTTGAACAATCAAGGTCTTCAGGCTGTTGTGAATAGGAAGACCAGCAGGGTCGCCAACAAGGAAATCGCCGACCGCATACCTCTTCCCCTTATTTCGTCTTTAGGGTATGTATATACCTAAGTATAGCGTATATAGTATAGATAGGGCAGCGGCGATGTGGAAGGAATGTGACGTCGGGGTGGCCCAAGAATGCTACATGTTTTGCGTTTTGCATTTCTCATGCCATGGAAAGAACGTATGATTACAAACACCAATTTCAATCTCTTTTTCAACCTAATTTTCAATTGCATTTCAAGCTGCCTATTTACAGTAATCAAAAAACTCCCAGAAAGCCCGATCTCCCACAATCTGTGAAACTCTCCAAATCGCACCCTCTCACGGATCGATTCACTCCACAGCAACCTCATCGACCTTGCCACAAGGATCCTCTCCATAGCCAGATTTCAGCCCCACACGTAAATCCCACTCGCAACTCTTCACAGTGTCATGAGCCTTCTTAGCCACGGCAATGCTAGCAAACTCCAACAGAACCTTGCCATCCGAGGGATCCTGCGACCCGTGCATCGGTCTGTGGGAGCTTTCCACTCCACAGCGTACCAGAGACTGCCAAATGGCATGTGCTGTGAGAGGGATCTTGAGGGCGCCGACGCCGTCGGGACAGTGGATCCAGAGGACTCGAGAGCACTTTGGAATTTGGATGTCGCGGGGAATGGGGTTGGTGGCTGTGGGGATCAGAGTGGTGGTTGACTTCACCAGCGTCTGAGATGTTGAGCAGAGATGCTCGATTGGGGTGATGAGCTGCTGCTTGATGAAGTTCTGCGCCATGTCTCCGGTGACGAAGACGACGAGGAGGGAGTTGCTTGTGGTGGGAGGGCTGAGTCTCATCTGTGACGTGTTGAGACAGATTGAGGAGAAGAGTTTGCAGCCTGGAACCCGAATCTTCGACAGGGCCGTGGAGTGGTCGACTCCTGTAGGGATGGTGATGACCACGGAGCGGAAGGCCTGGGGATCGCTGTGGAAGCTCTTCGGCTTGGCGAAGAGGTCTTCGATGGAGAAATCATCATTACCACCTGGAGCTCCTAAGTTGGCTTCGCTTGTCGCCTGACCTAGACGGGCCCAACGAGACTTGGGAGGAGACTTATCATTGCTCGTTGGAGGGATGATGTTCTTCGTCAGGAAGGAGCTGCGGGGAACAATCTTCCGGACGACAACATCTGTTTCAGTACCGCCGTGATGAAACGTGCTGGTCTGTCGGTAGCGGACGGGCGGCGAGGAGCCAGAGAGTCCCGGGATAGACTCAACGATAGCTTTGGCCTGCATGGTGGCTCTGACATGCGGCAATTGTTGAGCTGGGTTGGGACCAGCATACTCCTGGGAGAGTCTTGAGGTCTCGGCAGTGGCGGCGTGCGATGATTCTACCAGTGCAGTCTCAGTTGGGCTGGCTGGCTTCGAGGCTCCAGCCACTGCTTGAGAAGTATCGGTCTTGTCCTCGGGTTTGAATTCCTGGGACAGGGCCTTCACTTCTGGCTCAACCCCAGGAGACTGCTCATCACGAATCGCAGTGACGGTGCTTGGCGCCGCACCCTCCACGGTCTCAACGCTCTCATCAGGAGCTTGAACGTCCTTCTTCTCCCCATCAATCTGACTCTCCACTGAAGCGCTGGTCTCCGAAGAATCTGGAGTGTTCTCCATGCTGAAATCTGCAGAGACTTTTGCAGCAGCCTCAGCTCGCTGTTCCATCCTCTTGAGAAAGGCTGGACGGACTTTCGCTTCGTAGTACTCCTGCCACTGACGTGCAGTGTGTCGGGGGGAATGCTCAGCGTGGCGTTCCCAAGAGGGCCATAGCTCAGGGTCTTCAGACTCAATGAACGTGGCAAGGCCTGAGAGATGATTGTGTTCACCGTCGGTGAAGTAGTTCTCGCGGGGAACGATCTCGCGGGGAACGATCTCGCGGGGAGGGGGTCGAGCGGTGCGTGCGTCTTGATAGAATGGAAGTGGCACGTGTTGAATCTCACCACTAGGCTGAGTGATGTTGAAGCCGCCAAGACGCTGTACCACTCCATTGGATGGGAGATTGGCACGCTTCACACCATTGCTGCTGTACTGAGGCTCCTCCCACTCTGGGGGTGGTGTGCCCTGTCTGAGGCTGGCGAGACCGTAGCCGATCTCCCGTGGCATCTCAGGAGCCTTTGGCTTGGGCTCCTCGATCTTCTTCGGAACCGCAGGCTCAGGCTCCAGCACTTTGTGCTCGCTGAGGTCCACGAGCGAATCGACGCTGTCGAAGAGTGCATCTTCTGACTTTTGCTGACGCTGCAGCTTGCCGCCGTGCCGAGGGAAGGGCAATTCGTCGCCGTCATCATCTGTGAGGAAGCCAGTGGAGTCCTCTGCGATGGATGTGGTCGTGCTGCTGAGCTTTTTCTTCTGCGCCAGTGCGCTTTTCTTGGGGGCGGAGGGGGACCGCTGGCGAGTGATGCCGAGCTGGGCTTTCAGCTGGCGGTACTTCTGGACAGTCTTCTCGTGTTCCTGGTCCTTGACCAGTTGCTCATGGGCACGCGAGGTGAGGGTGTTGAGGAGGAATTCGTTTGCAGCTTTCGCCTCGGCGAGCTTGTTGTTGAGCATCCGCACTTCTGCGGTGAACTCTCCAATGCGGAAGACATTGGCGTCGGCCATGATGGCGACGAAGCGTGTAGGTGACAATGTTGTTGTGCAATAACGGTTGCGTTGAAGTGTGCGGAAGATGTTTGTGGAAAGGGGATGTGAGTGTTGATGATGTTCGGTGGATGTGTGTGTGTCGGAGAGAAGGGGAAGAAGGAAGATATGGTACCTTAAGTAGTAGGTAGCAGAAGTGTGAATGAGTGAACATTACACGTGGGTATTGTGCTGCAGGTAGCGGTGCTATCAGAAAAGTGAACTGATCAACATGTGGCCATTCCAACCATACAGTGACAGAGGAGCTTACATGTGAACGAGGACGCATTGAGGGCATATGTGCTCGGCCATGGATATCCAGCATGTTGCACGGCCAGTGGCATTTGATGCACGCTCTTCTACGAATGCCATGCCACCTTCAGCAGCTCAGCCCGCGGGCCAGTTTTTTGGGCTGTCCTATTGTACTTTTGAAATTGCGAAGACTTGAATATATGACTCCCTTCGCACTCGCTAAATCGATCGGTGACTTGCAAGCACGAGAGAGCAATAAGAGTGACGAGATATTAAAGGAACAAACCATGCATTTTGTGCTCCCTTCTGCTGCCACAAGAGTAGACGTAGCTTTCATGTCCAGCGTGAGATGACCTCCAAATCATCGATGATCGCGAGCGCAAACATATGCCCATCAATACATCCAGAGGCGCTGCTGAAGCGAGGATGGTGCCGTAAAGCGGCTCTGGTGTCCTTGTCCAATACTTGTGTCTGTTTGTAGCAACTCACAATTGCTCGATGAAGTCTCTCTTCAAACCAGGACCTCTGATGTTTGGCCTATGACGCGACAAAGAATCACTCCTCTTGATAGAATTCCTGTCTATGAGACTCCTCCTTCTGCATCTCTCCAAGACTTGCAGAGTCTCGTCGATGGACCGCGCACAGCATCCAAGCTGCCAGTTGAGAGCCGCGTTTCTATTTTTTGTGAGCCATCAAAAGTAGCACAGCCTCCCCGAACACGTAACGAGCGTTCAAACTGGCGAGCCTGGACTCTCTAGGCAACAGTACAATTTGCTACATCGTATGTGGCAGGTTACAGACGTGCGTTGAATATCTATCTGGTCGTGTCTCACTCCGGTGCAGCGGACTCAATCAAGGGCTCGGGAGCGTTGGCCGAAAAGCGTCATGCCGTTCGTTGTTCGTTGCCTGTGGATCGATGGCCTTGGACAGCTCGTGACAGCCATGACAGCTCGAGCGACGCGTCGTCTCCTGATATAGCGTGGCGTGCAGCGTGATTACTCTCGAGCTGTGACGAAAATGGTTCAGGCGGTGGTATGGCGGGCAAAGCTGAGGCGTGCGTATCGAAAGCGATGGACGGGATGCGTCTGCCAGAACTATACCACTCATCGTCATCGAATCATCAATCGCGTGGTGGAGGAAGGACGGAGATTGCTTGTACGATTGCTTGTACGACGATCTATCTTCATCGGGCCACGTGAAGAAGGGACGGGACGAGGTTGACCGTTGACGTCCACTCTTTGCAACGTGCGGCCCGGCGTGTTGACTCTCCTCTCTCCCTTTCTCTCAAAAAGGATCAACATCACCAGGACGCAGGCACGAGGTCAAAGTCCCAGACGACCAGGGTTTTTGCGGTGAAACCTCTGGGTATTCGGTCACATCATAAACAGGAGGGGTCTTGCTCTCGACATCCATGCAAGCGCGACTTCCAGGTACCTGACTTGTTTTACCTTACCCGCCGGTCTTGCATCTGCATTTGTGTCCCGCATCCCGCATCCTGCCTGCATCTGCACAACCACATGCGCTGCAGTCCGAACGAACGACACTCCTCGAATCGCACCCATCCATCGCAAGCATTTCCTCCAGACCGACGACACTCAAGCGCCCCCGAGGCTGGCTGCGCAACGCTCTCCGCATTAATGCCCGCCGAGTTGGGGGGACTTTGGATCCACGCGCGCATACACACCATATTGATTCGATTGAGTTGGATCGATTGATTGGGTTCACAACGCTTGAACATGGGCAACATTGCCAGCAGACCGGAAGATGGGGCATATCTGAGCGATCAGGAACGATGTAGGTTGGATATCTATTCACAGCCCTCGATGGCCCCTGGCTAATGCAGTAATCCAAGTCTCAATCGCCAGCCTCAATGTCACCAACGCGCGCGGACAGTCGATATTGCGCATTTCGCCCAACGCCTTCCCAGCGAATCGCTTCAGCGCCCACCGCGATGCCACAGCAGCCGGCGACGACTCGCCGATTGAGTTCATCCAGGACCCGGACAGTGTGACACCAGCCTTCCTGGTGCGATTGAACAACAATGAAGAGCTGAACTTCCACTTTACATTTGTCCTGCGCCAACAGATCCCCAGCGCGGGCGGGAACAATGCCGTGGACACCAACATCTCCGGCTTGACGTACATCTTCGCCTCTACACCCAAGGAAGTGGAGAATTTGGTGGTTCGCGAGTTCCATTCGGATCCCAATCTACACAAGAATGCCAACGTGCAGCTGGTGGGCGACTACAGCACCGGTGGCAGTCAGAGCGTACAATCCAGTTGGATGTGGAAGTGGCGACCCCCAAAGGCGGCCGAGGATAGAGGTGGTGGATGGCGCAACTGTTGCAGCTTTGTCGAGTATAACCAACGCGCACATCGCCTTGACACGCTCGCCAGCTTCAGCTTCTGGGTGCAAAACACACAGCGCCTTGCCTCTAACCTGCCCAAATCTCCAAACCTCGAGATCAATCTGCCGCCACGGCTTAGAGTGCCTTCTACACAGTCGATCGAGTCGAGAATCAGCAACATCAGCAACATCAGCGACTCTGACGGGGAGGGAAGCTACGGCAAGAGTTATGATGAACCTCAGTCGCCAGTCATACCATTCCAGCCGATTCCCGAGAATGGCTTGGGTCTCACCAACATCGCCACCTCTTCGACCATCGGACCCAAAAGGGTCGACTTGGCGGCGTGTAAGCCGGGCGAGGATCCATCGCTTAACGAGGACGGGCCTTTGTTCAGAGCTACTATGAGATCCCTCGAGCAAAAGACGGGCAACATGCGGATACGCATGAAGAGAGTGCTGAAGACGGCAGAGGCGGCACAAGCGGCCCAGACCTTGTGCAATCAAGCAGTCGTCGACTTTACCCAAGCGTTGAGGGAAGCCTCCGCCTCCAATGCCAACGCGGTACAGCCTGCGCTAGAGCATTACTTTGAGAAGATCTCCAAGGAAATATTGCTATACGAAAAGCAAAACACCATCAATCTGCAGAAGCTGATCATCGAGCCCGTCAGCAAGCTGTACAATTTCGAAATCAAACAGGCCGACTCCAAGAAGCGAGACTTTGACGAAGAAAGCAAAGAGTACTACGCGTATGTCGGCAAGTACCTCGGCCAGCGCAGCGAGTCCGTCAAAGAGAAGAAGCAAAAGCAGAGCGATGAGAAGTATCAGTCGAAGCGCCGGACGTTTGAGCTGAAGCGCTTCGACTACTCCTCCTTTATGCACGATCTACATGGCGGGAGAAGAGATCAGGAGGTCCTGTCGCAGCTGACAAAGTTTGCGGACGCGCAGGCGAAGAGCTTTCTTTCAACGTCGAAGAAGATTGAAGAGATGGTGCCGCAGCTGGACGCTCTGGTCGCAGAGGTCAAGATCGCAGACCAAGACTTTCAATTGCAGAGAAAGGAGCGGGAGGAGAAGCGTCGCATGCTGGAGACGAGCACCAAGCTGATGGGTGAGGATGGCAATGTGATGCCACCTGGTGGATTGTCATACTCTGCATCTGTGAGAGACTCACTCCGTCCCACGATTGACAATGAATCCACTCGGTCGATCAGCAATAGCGGATACGCTTCCATGATGCCAACCCCTCTGCCCGAGGTGAGATCACCGGCAGTGCAAGCGCCCTCGAACGGAATGCTCAACACGACCGCAAGCACTGCCACATCAGCAGCACCCAGTCCGAACGATAAGTTCAAGGGTATTCGCGATCTTCAAGACAACAGTGGAATGGTACAGAATGGTGGGACGCAGCGGAAAGAAGGTCTGCTATGGGCATTGAGTCGACCAGGAAGCCACGTTGATCCGAAAGGCATCACGAAACCCGGTTGGCACAAATTCTGGATTGTCCTTGATCAGGGAAAGCTTTCCGAATACGTCAACTGGAAAGAGAAGCTGGACCTCCACATGGACCCCATCGACCTGCGGATGGCTTCTGTCCGAGAGGCGAGGAATTCCGACCGACGGTTCTGCTTCGAAGTCATCACTCCCCATTTCATGCGCGTCTATCAAGCCCCGTCGGAAGACGACATGCGATCGTGGATAGGTGCCATCAATAACGCTCTGCAGAGCGCGTTTGAGAATAAAAGTCAGCACCAGCCCACGACGCCCTCTCCTTCTGGCTACCCTACTTCGCACCGAAAGGACATTGCCGCAGTGTTGACCGGCAAGAGCTCATCCTTCTCCGGCCACCGTCAGACTTCCAACCCGAACAGAAACGAAGCCGCCAAAGCGGTGAGCAGACATGCGACGACGGGCGAGAAGCCAACGTACAAGCGGACCGAAAGCGGAGTGGATGCAGAGCCGTCTGCCTTGTTACAACGAATCCGTAATGCGGATGAGGGAAACAAGTTCTGCGCTGATTGCGGGTCTGAGAGCAAAGTTGATTGGTGCTCGATCAACCTGGGTGTCCTCTTGTGTATTGAATGCAGTGGCATCCATCGATCACTCGGCACCCACATCTCCAAGGTCCGCTCGCTCACGCTCGATACGTCGGCTTTCACCCAAGATATCATCGAAGTGCTATTACTTATCGGCAATCGTGTGAGCAACATGATCTGGGAGGCCAAATTGGACCACTTTTTAAAACCTTCACCGCATTCAACCAGAGATCAGCGTCTGCATTTCATCACGGCCAAGTACAGCGAGCGCACATATGTGCAACATCCAGCGACAGGGCAAGTGGCAGATGATTTCCTCCTCACCAGCATCAAGAAGAACGACATTCAAAGCGTTTTGCACGCTCTCGCCCTCCGCGCCAATCCGAATGTGCATGACCGATCGAGAGACACACACGCACTCTTCCTCGCACTCGCTGCAGCAGATCCTGCCTCCCCTGGCTYTGGTCACTCACCTTCCAACTCTCATGCATCAAGCATACGAGGTGTCACCGGTCCTACCGCGACCCCGCCACAGCCTTCAAGTCCGGTGGTTCCGTCCTCGCGACCGGCTCCGCGTAAACCATTCGCGGTTGCCGAAGTACTCCTCCAGAACGGCGCGGACATTCCGGACAAGGCCAGCTGTCCGTTTCCTCTGTCAGATGCCGCCAAGTTCTACCTTGATTACAAGAACGATCTCCGGCAAGGCAAGACTCCTGCCTCCGCTGGTAAGGACTCGAACGGTGATAATCTCAGTCCCCTGCCTGCAATGGGCGCGAATGGTGGAATGGGCGTCAACCTCCGCGACGCAGTGCCTTATCGTGAGAGGGACCGATTGTTGAAGAGGAACAGTGGTAGCAGTCGACCCAAAAGTCGAGCAAGTTTGAGCGCTGCCGTGGAGGGCATGGAGGGTTTTGTGAAGAAGTAGAGTGACCCATTTCTCTCCTGCCACCACCATGATAGGAGCAGTACTGAAGATACAATGGATGCGAAACTGGCGCTGACCGAGATCTCTGCCAACAGCAATTTGCGACGGACCGAGCGGATTCTACGACGCAGCCTGACGAGTGATGATGACGATAACAATGACGACGGAAACAAGGACAAACATGTACATGGCGATGATGACGACGACGCTGGGAGCCTGCGAAGTAAAATCAGAAGAGGGAGATTGAGAAGGATGTCAAGTCGATATTCTTTGAGACCGAGAAGCATGAGGGAGAAATGGATGACCTCCACGCTTGATGGTGCCGTTGAGAGTGCCATTGGAGGACTGCTCTTTACATCGTCTTCATCACGGGAGACAAGTCCGAGGAAGAGGATTTTCGCAACAACAGAAGAGTCTGAAGGGCAGCCTTTTGGACTCTCGCGACCTATTATGTCGGGGATTCGGGCAAGGATTGGAGTGTTGAGGTGCAGAGCGCAGACCGCTCCTTCGAGGATTGAAACGCCGATTAGTGGCGCGAGGTTCATTCCCGGCGATGTGGAAGGAGCGCTTGGACCTGTTCGGTTGAGTGAGAATATGGAGGGGTGGAGGTGGAGTGTTTGTTGAGGAGGTGGAAGAGCCCTGTCCATTGTTTCTTCCTTCTGTTGGTGGTGGTTTCCGTTTGGCGAGTCGTGCAGTTAATGCGTAATGGATAATGAAGAATGCTCCCTCTCTGTTGGTACCTCCTGACTTTGTGTGTGAAAGTCTGTATCATATATAACCCATCTGCGTTCTTCTCCAAGGTTTGGCCTGCGCGCTCCTTGTGCTTGCTTGCTCATTGATGTTACAAAATATAGTGCTATGCTGCTTGAACGCTCATCAACCCATGTTCCTTCAACTCCTCGTTCCCATACCACCAATACATCTCCACATTGAAGTCGAGACTCATTCATAACCCACAATTCACCACATTCAACCCCCTATCCCTCGCAACATCCATCCACTCCACATCCTCCATCCTCCCCCCCGCGCGCAAAACTCTCCTCTGTTCCTCACAAACCGCCACAAGCAACATTCTAGTCCGAAAAGTATTCTGCCCAATGCCCTTCCCCTCAAACGCCTGTATCAAATCAATCGCATGACCTTTGGCATCTGAAGAAGTTGTCGCGAATCCCGCGATGAAAATTGGAAAGACGACGTGACGTTTTTCAAATTGTGCGGATTTTACGTGTTGGGATGCTGTGGTTAGGATACTGCGTACGCGATTTTCGGTGTCGAGGAGGAGGTCTTGGTGGGATAATGATGCTGTGGGGATGTGGCGTTGGTGGGGGAACATGCTTGTTCGGGAGTAGATTGTTGAGGCGTGGTAGAGGAGGAGGGCCTTAATGGAGGAGGGAGGATTAGTATGGTGATGTATCACTTGTTGGGGAGAAGAGGGGGGACTTTACATCTTCAAAGACGGAGCGGACTCTTCCTGGTAATGATGCGCTTGCTGCTTGTGGTTCGGAATTGAGATGTTCGGGGTATGCGTGTTGCCAGAAGGAGTGCATTTCTACTTGTAGCTGCATGACGGTTGCTTGCCAGCGTGCGTACGTTCCAGGCGAAACGGGGAGTCGTGTGGAAGAGATCTCCGCTCTGAAGGATTGTGCTATCTGTGCGAGTTTTGCTGTTCGTAGCACGATGCCTTCTTTGAGGTGGAGGATTGGAGTGAAGACACGAGCTTCATGGGGAAGGAAATGCATCGTTCTCGGGGAATTTCCTCCATCACATACATTCGGGACTTGTTGTTCCAACGGAGGCAGCATGTTCTGCGACATGATCGTTTGGACGAAGTCGCAGGTGCCACTACCCATCAGACATGCGTACATGTCTAGCTCGCAAATGGTCCATAGAATGTGACCATGAGGCTCTCTTCCTCGACTTCGATGGCGCTGCGTGGCGATGTGTCGGAGGTGGTTCAGATRTCCGGCCCACAAGCTATCTGCACTGCTATCCTCGGCTTGCATGGGGATACAGATGTCGTATACCAAGAGTAGAAAGTGTCGGAGAAAGACACCGTCCTGCATCAGGTCGCTGGGAGATGTTGCGGTGGACTGGATGGCTAGAGCCTGGTGGTAATGCTGCATCGAGTCCTCCATAGAGGCCCGACCACTATATGCCAGCCCGAGCGCACTAATCGCGCAGATGGCGTGGTGGAGAGGTGCGAAGCGCACAGCTTCTTGCCCCAACACATCTTGGGTCGCGCCGGGCGATGACAAGTCTTTCTGTGGCTGAATGAGACGTGGAGAGATGTATTGCCGAAAGTGCGCGAGTAGATGGTCGTCCGGACTTCGTACCGGCGTGGACGGCGCTGATGCCGTTGCAACATTCGGAGAGGTTATCGATAGTTGCTCGAGATTTTCCGGAAAGCTTTCTCGTCGGGATTCACTGGTGATTGTAGAGGTCCCCACTGGTAACGAAGATGATTCTTCAAATCTCTCTAGCATCACAGTGTTTGGATCTGGGAGGGTCSTCGATCGACTGAGACTATCCCTTCGACTGGCATGACCTCCTCGGGATGAGGTACCACTCGTGYGTCGGTGACTGRGTGGCGAGGCTGCAGCATATTCGGGGAGGTCGTAGAAGCTCTCTGGCGTAGCTACCACTGCAAACGTGCCTGGTCGTTGTGTGATGGCCTTGCGTTCGCGGTCTTCGTCAGTGGTAAGAGATGCAAAGTCGGGTAAGTCGTCGTCGTGTTCCTGACTTGTGGGGCTATTGCTGGCTCGTACTGCTGGGTCCCACACGGCATTACCTGACGTGGTGACGTTGGAGTATTTGCTCTGAACCACCTGAACGCTGTCGTTGAAGTTCCACCTATGATCCCAGTCACACTCACGATTCAGACGCGTGCATGGACCGCATCGGGGATGTGCTTCATCACACTTGACCTGTTGCAAAGACTTGTTAGCAGCGCTCTCTGCATCCAGTTGATAGGCTGTACTTTTCTCCCACGACATGTCCAGCATCCCGCCCGGGAACGGTGTGACAGTCGCGGCGGCCGCCCACTCGAGGTCGAAGATGTTTGCGACAGAAGTTCCCGAACCGGTAGGGCTGGTTTGCCATCTCGAGGCGCCAAAGGAGGAAGGTTGTTGATTTTGTGTCTCGAAGAACTTTCTTCATAGCGGCCGTCTGACATGATGGTCCAGTGGAACGGCAGCACCCGTAAGCGAAAAAGTGATCAACAGATCAACAGGAACAATCCAGGAAGACACCTCGCCAAGAAGATTCAACCAAGTCGGTCAATGTTCCCGAGGAAGGAAGCCAATGAGTGTTCACTCCGGAAGATGTGTAGTTGCGGTCACCAGAACCACTCGTACAGTATTAAGACCACGCGACTGCGTCTCACAAAGAGGACATTGTGTTGGATCCTTTTGGCGAGAGATTCCAGTGGTCTTGATATATGGGAAAGAAGAAGGCGAACGTGCAACATGGCCTTTTTCAGTTCATGACCATCTATCGCATATCCGTGCAGTGGTGAATGGTGAGATGGTATGGCTTGTCGTAGGCGTCCATAGGAGGGTGTTGATGCGAACCAGGTTGCAGCCACTTTTGCAAGTCCCAGCTGAACGGCTCCCGGGCAGTGTTGGATCGGATTTTTTCCCCCGTGGAGCTGCTTGGTCAAAGGAGACCTGAGGAAGATGGAGGGCACGAACGCAAGAAGGGTCTGCTCGTCCGGTCGAATGTCCGTGGGGCGCTCCATACTACATTAGCAACCCTACGGCGCTCTTTCGTGGCGTCAATACGCCCGAAACACGTAAACCCTACATTTGGTGGCTGCCACGAGGTCGATCCATATCCCTACGAGGCTGCCGCCGGTGGGTCCCGCCCAGTGCTTGTGCATAGGTACGTGACGAGCTTAAAATTACGCGCTATGGCATGTAAGGACAGGCCTCCGCAGGGGGAAGGGGGAAGAATATGCTGGCTGCAGAGAGAGAGCATGCTCGATCCCGAATCAGGAAAGCGAAATGGCGTCTGATTTTCGCGCGCGGGGGGGCCTAGACGACGACGACGACCCACTGTGACATCTGTAGAGCGCCGCAACGGGATGGCCATTGATGTGGCTGTCGAGCATATGCATGGCCCAAAGCAGACGACGACGACGCGGATCAGTCATCCCATGCATGCGTCTTTTAAGGATTCGCTGGGCGGAGGGAGGAGCAGGAGCAGGAGCAGGGCGATCACGTCTGCTGTGCACTTACCTTACCGCATCATCATAGCGCCACAAAAGGTGATCCGGGAGTCGCTGGACGCACTCTTGTATCTGCTAGGCCTAGCCGGACGGGACGGCTCTACAAATGCCATCTTGGGCCTGTGGCTGCAGGATTGTGTACTACCAAGCTTAAATTTTGTCATGCCTCCAGCGATGTCTTCTCAAAGGAGAGAGAGTCCTAAAGCGTCTGGAGTGCAAGAGAGAGAGGGGCGTTGGAATCCATCAGACAATCGTTTCACATAAACATCTCATGCGGAGGTGGTCGTTCTGGAAGCACGTCCGGTACTACAAGACACAAAGGCAGGCTGGCTGCAGACGGTGGTGGTGGTGGTGGTGGTGGTCCATGCATTTGGGGGAACCTTCGAACTTCGACCGTTTCTCGGCAACGGCAAATCCTTCCTATTTCACGCCCCACATGCAGATGGTTGAGACATCACTTCTCATTACAGTATGCAGTTGGGGGTTCCAGAACTTGAATTTGTCGAAGCATTCATGGATAGCTTCGGACTGTAAAGAGTCTAGAAGTCTTGCGCTCTTTGCAGGCAGTCCCGAGAGCTTGGAAGTGAACGATAATCAAATTCTCCCGAGTGTGAAATTCTATGATTAGGTTGGTAGCGTCTTTTGGACAAGCCACGTGGTTGTCTAGACTATCAACTTTTTCAGCCACATCTAGGCCCCATCCCATCCCATCACTGATCACGTCGTTTTGACGGCTGCCGAGAGGCGGTCTCGAACCTGCAATGACATTTCCCCCTTCATGAGCTCCCGGACCTCACCTGTCATTTCGGAGCCGAGCAGAGGTGACGCCTTTGCAATGCTCGTAATTGCCTCTGCTCGCAGCATTCGCACCGCTTCAATGGGAACACTGGGCCCGAATAACAGCGTTTTCAGGTCTTTGATCGACGCCACGTCGAGCTTGATTTCTCTTCGCTGCTTCAAAATGCGATCAAAGACGCGGGACAGACCCTCAAAGGTACTCCGCAGGCTAGGAGCGCCTGTGGCATTCTTCACGCCCGCCACCTCATGCATGGCTCGCGAGAGCTTATGCGCAAGTGCGGCGTCTTCGCAGATTTCTGCATTGACCGAGGCGAAAAGCGCTTCGATCGCACCCGCGATGGTGGCTTCTTTGCTACATCGGTGTCAGCGCCGAGATCGTAGGACGGGCAATCCTCCATGTGGCAGCCATGGCGTGGGTGTGGTACTTACATGTCCTCTGCTTTCCGGGAATCATCCTTGCCGTCAATCTCCATGGCATCCTCATCCGTTTCCGACGTCAGAATTGGCTGGACGACGTCGAACACGGCATCACTGAGATCAGTATCCGTCCGTGCTARGGCAATGCGAGCCAAAGCTTTGACGGAATGCTGTCGGTAGCCAGCATTCTGACGCTTTGCTTCTCGGATGGCAATCTGTCGCGAGTGTTAGCGAGAAAAGGACAAGGGCGCCCATCTCCGCACGTACCTTGACAATGGCAGAGCGCACACTCTCGTGCTCCTTGTAATAGGGCTTGGCCGCTTCAACAAACTTGACAAAGGCTGTCAGCACCACTTCTTTGCCCTCCCACGTCTTCCCACCCAGCGCCTTTTCAATCGCGGGCCAGAGCGCAGTCCCCGTGGCTGCTGACATTTCAGCCTCGCTTGCTGACACTGCCATGATTGCATCCGCCACGGTGCGTGCAGCAGTGTGCTTCAATGTCCACTGTGGCGAGTCCAGATGAGCAAGGCACAGCTCAAGAATCTCGGCGAGGTACAGCTGTACTGCTCGTGAACCACCAACACTCTCATTCCAAGTCTCTTGGAATTGTTCCTTGACCTGCTCGTTGGAGTCATGTTTCCCGACGAAGATGAATGGCAAAGACGATGTCGCAAACACATTGAAGCGGTCGCTTGCCTGCTTCGAAAATGCCAGCATAATCTCGCCAGACGTTATGCTGTAAACATGGTTAGCAATGTCTCAAATGACKAATCGGAGCAAGGCCGAACCTTCTTCGTGGCGTGACCGATTCTCGATCACCTTCCGACTCAAAGTACAATTTCTTAGCGAAGCTAATGAGTCTCAGAATTTGCTTATCAGAGGCACCACGTGCAACATAGCCGGCCGCCGCAGCGTACGAGCTTGCGACGGTGTCGTTACGATCGATGACCAGCTTCTCAATCAGTCTGAGAGCATCGTCTGCATATGGCTTGAACTTGACCATCTGTCGAGTGCTGAGCGACACGAGCACACGGCTGGCTCCTACTTTCGAAGGAAGGCCCACGGCATTCTTGATGGCACTCTCCAACTTTGGCTGAAGTAGCCGCATGGTATCGTCATCGAGTAGGTCAAGGCAGCGCTCAATCGCTTCCATCAGTGGACTGGTTCGGACACTGGACAATCGCATGTCGTCAATCTTCTGCTCTGTGAGATTGTACTTTGCGGCGTTCAAATGGATGTAGTTGACAGCTTCAGGCTCGAGCGAACTCAAGAGACCGATGAGACGCTCGACCAGTTCGGGGATGAAGGGTCGGATGGTGGCACCATTGGCCTTCTTGATGATTTCCAAGAGAGTAACGACTGAGAAAGTTTGCGTGTCTTTCGCGCTTGATTCCATTCCTGAAGGTGAGAGCAGAAACGGGAGAACGTGCTTGAGCATTGCCGATGCATTCTTGGTAGAGCTGTGGTCCGCTTCAAGTGCTCTTGTCAAGACACCAGTCAAAGTTCTAGCCAAGGATGCAGCTGCCGCGCGGACTGATTCTTTGATGTCGTCCAACACCTTGAAGCACTGACTCCAAATGCGCTCGAGGTAGCCTTCGTACTTCTCCAAAGGTCTACCTTGAACGAGGTCCGCAATGGCAGCACAGCAAGCTTGCCGAACTCTCCATTCCTTGCCAAGAATGCTGGAAAGAATGTCTTCCATGATGGCGTCGAAGTGCTTGTCGATTGTGGCCGCAGAATCGGGCACCAAAGCAGTCCAGATGTCATTCATAGACCTCTGAACGCCACCATTGGGATCGAATCGATATCGGAAAAGCTTTGGGTAGAGCTTCGGGTTGTTAGACAGATAGCCATCCACGCTTGAATCCGACAAGACTCTGCTGAGACCGAAGCGTCCAAAAGCTGCACGGCTAGACCAGATGGCATTGGAAGACGCCATGGACATGAATTTATACACGAGACTTGAGTCTCCAACTTCGGAGGCAAGGCTCATAATGTCCTTGTATGTCGAGACTGATCCATCACCAGTGGGAAGAGCGCCTGGCTCGAACAGTTGAGTGTCGGCCGAGACGTTACCAGAGAGTTGTGCTTTGTCGGATGAGAATGAGGAGACGAGATCACGGACTAGATCGTCCTTGAGGCTTCGGTCGCCCTTCTCATACACCAGGCCCAGTCCTCTGGATGATGTTTCTTGGACGAGCTCGTCACGGTCAGAGAGACAGCGACGGAAGGCGCCCTGACACTCTGCGAGTCGATTTTGGATTTGCTCTCCGCAGTACTGCACCAAGCAGAGAAGCCACATGACAGCAGCCTTTTTCAACGCTGGCTTCGTGGTGTTGCAGTCCGCAAGAACGCGGTCGACCAGCTTGGTGAGGGTCTGCGTTCGCGGCTGTCCTAGTTGATCGGTGGGAGTGATGATTTCGATGTCCAGCTTCGTTGCGAGGGCAGTGGATCTCCACCCAGCAGCCAAGTAACTGAATGCCTCACCAACAGTGAAGTGAATCTCAGACTGCCGTATTTCATGAAGCTTGTGGAGGTGGTYTTCTATGTGCTTCAAATCCTCGCTATCTTCTGGTAGAATCATGGACAGTTGACCGAGACACAAAATGGCAGTTTCGTTTCCTTCCTTACCACGGTCGTAGAGCTTGTCCGACACTGCCCGGACCGTTGAGAACTTGCCAATCGCATCTGGTGTGAGGCTGGCGAACATGCACAACTGCCCGATAGCAATATGGCTGGCTTCGTGGAGTGTGTCATCTCGAGAATCATCAAATATTTCGAACAACACTTTCAAGTAGTCCTGAGTCTGGACATTCTGGCCCCGACACGCCGATCTGCTGAGTACAAAGCCCAGGGCAGTAACAGCACCGTGGACGATATTCAGAGATGAGCCGACCGCTTGTTTCCACCCACGGCTTGTGCTAGAAAGTCCTTCGACAATCCCGTCCGTGTTGCAATCTGGGTGAGAGGCAAGGATTCCAACAGCCTGCGCAGCGGTCATTCTCTTCCCGTGATCATTTGATTTCAGCACGGGAAGGAGACTTGCTGCCCGAGGGATGTGGTTCCGTATGAGAGCATCGGGACTGAGTGCTAGAAGCTCCACCAAATGATTCTCCACATTGGCAGTCTCCGATGTCACACATTCAAAAAGTGCACAAATGAGGATATCCAGCATCTTGGGCGAAGCTGCCAGTGTTTTCTCAAGCTGAATCTTGACGGCTGTTCTTGCAGGGGCATCCGACTCGACCATTGCATCAAGCCGACGCTCCCAGTCATGGTCCAGATTGACAGGAATTTCGGCTCCCGCAAGCGCCTGGTGCACAAACATCCGACGTGCGAAGCCTACCATGAATTGAAAAGAGGTCTTGTTGAGATCTCTCGTTCGTCGCACGATAACCGCTGGCTCGTCGCTCGTGATTTGAGTCTGGGTGATGAAGAATTGCTCGACAGTCTTGTCAAAGGTTGGGAATGCAATGGCCGGTGTCTCTACGCCGAGATTTGATCCATTGAGCATGTGGTACCAGTAAGGACTGAGTCCCCGCTCGCCTTCTTCTCGAACCTCTGGTCGATCAGAAGCAGCCCCCGATGCCAGGACATCTATCCAGCGGGCTTTGACGGATAAGTATGGTAAGCAGCGATTTGCAAATCGCACTGCGACATAACGGGTGCTTCTTAGACGCTTTGAGCCTTCTAGATCCGAAGACTGCACCATCTGATCGATTAACAGATCCTCGAGTACCTCCTGCTCCGCTTTGCTGATTTCCAAACGCCCCATGGAGCCCAAGATCGTCGAGAGAGACTCGTCTATGCTGACAGTGATGGAGTTGCCAGACGCGTCTCGAGCCAGCGAGTCAAAGAGCCATCTGAGCAAATCCATGGATGGGCGGTCCTCCTCAATCAGGACACTTTTGGGGCCTGCTTTGGCCAGGAGTCCAATCACCTCGTAAGCATACGCTCGGGAAACAAGATCTTCGTTTAGTCCTGGCTTCGGCCATCCTTGGTTTTCGATAAAGTCTCGCAATTTGACTATAACCTTTGGCGCGATGGCATGGAGCGAGTCCTTTGCACCAAACCGAGCAACGTAGTTGATGTAGGAAAAGATTGCAGCTCGCAGTTTCGTTGCTTCCCTGCCAATGTTGGTAGATCTAGAATCTGGTGTTAGTAGGTTTGGCCATATGATGCAGCGTAGATTGCAGCCGCATTTCAATTCGAGCGTCTTGACTGTACTCACTGTTGTGTGGGTCCATTGGACATTAGGACGTCTTCCCCATCTTGAGACGAAGTTGCAACACCATCAGCAACAAGAGACGTTATGTTGTTTGCRAAGGTTGTGCTCTTCGTAGATTTGTTCAATAACCCAAGAATCTTCAAGCGCAACGGGGCCCGAACGCGTGGTACGCCGCCTGCATCACCCGAGCTTCCAAAGTACATCCCGAACAATTGAACCACCAACGTCTCATCCTCCAAGTCGGTTGCAGGAAGGGCTCTTTTCAGCATGTCATCGCCCACATCACTGATATTCGATGCAGAGTCGGCAGATGCGAACAAGGCAGGTAGAAATCGTTCCTTGTCGTTGAACAGACCGCTCGCTAAAAGTCGAGCTGCAAGCACTTTCGTTCGGAGGAGATTCAACCCACCAGCGGCTGGATTCCAAGCATCGTCTTTACCTTCAACAGCGAAGAAGTTGTACTCTGCCCGGGTCAAACCCGGACACTGCTTGCTTTCACCTTTTTGCGGCGTGAAGAGAATGAATTTGCCAAAGAGTTTGGACAAGACATCAGTATCATCCTCGGAGACTTGTAGTCTTTCCCGCATCKCAAGGTCTTCCTTGCTTCCACGCGGTGGGAGAGGGAACGATTCCAATAGCCGTAATAGGAGATAGAAGATCTGCGACGACTGACTGCCATTCTCCGCAATGCCATTGACGACCACGGGCAACAATTCTGCTTTCTCGGCATTTGATAGCCGTGTCACACCTTGTTGGATGTAGAGCAAGTCGAAGTGGCGGATGAGCGAGCCTTTCTGCTCCTTGAATTGCTTCACCAACGCGGCGACGGGCAGCTGAATCGACTGTGGCTGAATTCTGGTATTGACATGCTGGCAGATGGATATGACTTTCTGCCGTACGCTCTGGTGTTCCGAGCCGAGTTTGAGGAGGACAGGTGCCAGGTATGTTTTGAGAATTGCTTCAAGCTTTGCATCGGTATCGGTGAGCGCGATGCGCATCTCCACTTTGCCCACCAGAGCCAGCTCGCGCTGCTCGGGGGATTGAGCCGGTGCACTCATCCCAGAGCGATGAAGATGATGTGATGGGTTGGTTTAGATGAGGTTGGTTGGGGTCATGATTTGGTTCAAGACAACATCGATGGCTTCCCTCTGTCGGCTGTCTGCGCTCGTGATAAATGGATCTTGTCTTGTGGCGAAGAGGAGTGTCGATTGCTCTTACAATCTGATCAAACGTAGTGGAAGATGATGGAAGTAGAAGCGCCACACGTAACACGCTGTCGCCTTCAAGATGTCCCGGAATGCTGCCGAGTGGGCAGGCGCTAGCGTATGTCCTTTCAATGCCTGCTCTGCTGCTTTGACTCGTGCGAATTATCCGATGTCAACTCTGCATTGCGCACAAGAATGTTRAATATTGCTTTTCCTACTGTATCTAGATTACTGCCGAGTAGTCGAGTCTTGACACTCTTGGAAACACTGGAAACATGATGGATCATACAACGAGGTTCCATTGAAATACATTCAGACATCAGTGTCATCCGATTCGTAGAAAGACCGCAGGAAACTTCAATGCCACATGTCGAGTGCTCCAAYCTACAGGTCTATAACCACCAAGACACTGCGCTCAGATTATTGAAAAAAGTCGTCTTCAAGTCCAACGTCTTCAAGCTATATGCGAGCTTAGGCATGTTGGAATACTCGACGACGGTCCGAAACAGAACGTGAGTCCAGCTTGTCCTGGGGGCCATGCGATGGAGGTCAGCAACGTGATTAAGTGAGGTAAGGCGCCAACGTGTGCAGATAGATATATAAAGGCCGGAGCCATGTATTTGCTTCCTTTTCATTTCCATTCACCWGAAACCGAGGCGATAGCGTTACATGGGACGAGCTGTACATACGTCGCATGTTGAAGGACTCTCCATCCAAGCGTTGTTGTAGTAAAGTCGCACCATCATCCGTATGAACATATCTTCCAGTCCAAAGGACCCAGAACTCCTCGCCATCTTGCATCCAAGTCCCGGGAAGCTTGAAAGGTTACGCTTCAACAAAAATACGGGAATAGAGATGCTGGTGACGATTATGATCCAACAGCTGGTATAGCTGATGAATGACCACATCACAGCCATGCAAGGCAAAGAGGACTACATCCCAAGAGATCTCATGGCTGAGCAACTCGATACAAACGAGCCTGCGCTTCACATATTTGAGACGTGAGACTCGACCAACGTTGTGTATGTTATTGCTCCACCACTCTAGGTATGCGAGCAAGGAGAGCGCAACAGCTCACACCAAAACTGACAACTTCAAGACGTTCGCGGTGAAGTGCGAGAGCGAAGAAGTCATGGCCAAAGAGCCGTATTTGGTCTTTATGGAGACTGTCGGAGGCTTCGATTGGGACCGAAAGAAGATGTAGGTTGTTGCATCGTCCGAGCTCTTCTATGTGCCCTCAATTGTGCCAACTCCTGACCTGCTGTATGTCGTGCCGCCCATGTTCTTGCTCTTCTCGGCCTCCCGTCGTCACTCCCGATTCGCGTGGGAGGTGAAGAAATTCAAGCAGATGAGGTACAATCAACGAGCTCGGCACATTCCATGCGGCTGGTGTCGATGGGTTCGTATAACCGGGCTTGTCGTGGTATAATATGATAGAGGGAGGGTGATGAAGAACGGCGGAAACTCGTGGCTGTCACCAAATCTGGCCCGTGCACACATCGGCGACTTTGTCCTTCCTCACCTAGACTTCCTCCCTCTTCTTCACATCACCATCTAGATCAGCTGACAACAGCAATACATTGCATTCGTCGAAACAGGTCCTATCGTGGTAACACCTTATCACAGCAGTTGGTATCACTGCCATACTAAGCATGGCTAACCCACGAATTGCCCGAATGGCAAGTGGACGGCTTTACTGAATGCGGGCATGAAAAGCTGCCCCACAATCTGGGGGTCTACCTACTACTGGTACTTCTCTTGTATATCTTCGTTCCATCGCCAATGATAACGTGCACTCAAAGCAAGACAGTCTCATCAATCTCGTCCAAATGGCCCCAGGTAAACATTCATATCTCATTGTTGGAGCGGGCGTCTTCGGAGTGTCGACGGCATTTCACATCATCAAAACTTATCCCGATGCAAATGTAACCATTGTCGATCGAGATGCTTTCGATGCGGAAAGTCGGGTGGCTGCCTCATGGGATTGGAATAAAGTGGTTCGTGCAGACTACGATGATATAGTGTACTGCAGACTCGGACTCGAAGCACAAGACATCTTCCGCTCGGATCCGCTTTGGAGGCCTTTCTTCCACGAATCGGGAATCTACTGGATGTGCCGGAGCGACTACGCACAGGATGTCTTGGACAACTTCAAGAAGCTGGGTCGCAAGGCAGACTTGGCTGCCGTTCCTATTGATGAGGCCCGGAAGCTGTATGGCGGAATCTTCAACGATGCTGACTACGATGGTGTCAAGGAGGTTTTGGTCAACAAGACCAGTGGGTGGGCAGCAGCAGGAGACTGTCTGAGAGCAGTGACTCGCGAAGCCATCCGATTGGGCGTCAAGTATGTCACGGCCGATGTTGATACACTGCTCTTCGACTCCAGCAATCGCTGTACGGGCCTCTTGACCAAAAGCGKAAAGACTCTATCAGCATCGCATGTCGTGCTCAGTACTGGAGCCTTCACACCAAAGCTGCTAGAACAGAGTGCAGTGAAGAGTGGCCTGGATGACCTTCGATCGGGAGATAGAATTCTGGCCGCTGGCATCACTACTGGCATGACCAAGCTTAACGGGAAATCGCTGAATACATACGCATCGATGCCAGTAGGTGTGCAAGGATACACCGCACAAACAGGTAATTCTAACCCTGATCATGAGTTTTGATGCATGTAATTGACATACAAGAACAGGACCATTCATTGGCAGTTTACCACCCACACCAGATGGAGAGCTGAAGTGGTGGGGACAGACCATCTTCACAAACACCCAAGAGTTCTCTGGTGGTCGCATGATCTCCGCTCCCCCTGCAGAACCGGACTATGCGCAATGGAAAGTCCCAGCCAAGCTAAAGAAAGACATTGATCATGCCAACCAAGTATTTTACGGGAAGAATGGCAAGGACTGGAAGATGGAGAAGTATCGTATTTGTTGGTAAGTCCAATCTACTGTTCCAAGCCAACATTCCATTGCTAACATCATAAAAGGGATGCCTTCACCACAAGTGCTGATTTCATAATCTCCCCTCATTCTGCTAGCAAAGGCTTGTATATCGCCACATGTGGCAACTTCCACGGTTGGAAGTTCTTCCCGGTGCTTGGAAAGTACATCTTACAGATGTTAGAGGGATCTTTGGAGCCTGAGTTGGCGAACAAGTGGGCCTGGGATCGTGAGCGACCCGATGGCAGCTCAAACCCCGATTGGCCAAGACACGAGATGAATGATGTACTCTCACAGCCCAGGGCCCGACTATAGGCTACGATGAAGCATGAGCAATGGAGAAACGATTAATCCTTTCGGTGGCGTGAACTTTTTCAAACCACACAAAAGTGCGCTGGTGCTAAGTGTCGTAGCTGTCGTGAATGCCGATTCTCTCTCCTCAACTTAAAGCGCCATGATGCTCTTGAACTCCTCGAAGCTGATGTTGTTATCTCCATCGGTATCAGCCTCACGGATGAGATCGTTGATCTCCTGTTCATTCATATCGGTCCCGAGAGACTTGAGCATGGCTCGCAATTCATCCGCACTAATGGTTCCCGAGCCATCCTTATCAAAGACGTTGAACGCAGCGCGAAGCTCCGCCTCGGTATCATTTGAGCTCAATTTATGCTTCWTCATGGTCAGAAATTCTGCGAGAGAGAGAGAAAGTCAGCGGAGATTTTTCCGCCACTCAAGCACCCGTGACACTTGCCGTCCAAATCGATGGTGCCACCACCATCCTTATCGACCTCATTCATCACATCCTGCAGCTCCAATTCAGTGGGAGCATGGCCGAGCGAACGCATGACTTCGCCCAGCTCTTTGGCGGTGATGACACCTGCTTGGATTTTAGCGGTTTAGTCACGAGGTTTGATGATGAATGTCTTGTCCTACCATCACCGTCTTTGTCCTGATTCGAAAAATCGTTAGAGAAGTGGTGTCCAAAAAGTGGGGAAGGAAGAATGTAAGGTACTCACGAACACGGCAAATGCGTGCTTGTAATCTTCAAGCTCCTGATCGCTGATGAGCGCGTTGGGATCCATATTGGCGATGTTTTCGGGATAAGGTGGATTGGAAGATCTAGATAGAGCTGTTCGGTTGAGGTGATGGTCCCGTCGTGCCTTTCTGCAAAGTGTGGCCGGGGTTTCCCCGCCTTTTGCACTGAGCTGACCACAGACCGCTTTTCTGGACCTGTGAGTTACCTGTCCTGTTCCTTTCAAATCCCATTTTCCCTCCCGTCTCCTTCATCACTCCATCGACATGCCAACGTCCCAGACGCACGCACGCACGCTCGCTTCAGCCCATCTGCACAGGAGTGGGGTGCCGTCTTGTTTCAGCCGTCGCTTGTCGACTTCAACAACTTGCACTTCCTTTGGAAATTCCACTCGGTTTTTGGCGATGATCACGATACTCGAGGTTCCAGTCAAAACATCACAAGAGTGTCAAACATGTCAGAGACATGGACTACCGCGATCTTCTCCAAGATAGAAGGCGACAAAGACGAGTTCTTCCGTCGAGCTCGAACCCTCGTAGGTAGGAAGGGAGGCTGAGCCAAGTCGCCTAGCGCTGCGCAACCAGGTTATGATCCCGATCAGCTGGCGACCATGACGGCGGCCACGGCCCGTGACAACTTTGTCTCAACGCCCCAGGTCACCCTCACACCAACTCCTTTCTTTCAAGCAACATTTCACTTTCGTCCCATCTTCTTATAGATTTTCGTACCAAATTTGGCTGCCATCCCGAAACCTCTGTCAATTCTACCATGGCTCATACGCGGGAACTCGCCGTCAACAAACGCATCATTGTCTGCTGCGATGGAACGTGGTTAGCATCAGATCTAGGAGATGGAAGCATAGCTTCAAATGTGGCCAAACTCGCAAGAGCCATTTCTCCCAACGGACTGGACGAAGCGGGACGACTCATCAAGCAAGTGGTGTTCTACCAGTCTGGCATTGGCTCCGGAGACTTGCCTTTCCAGAAAGCAATCTATGGTGGGTTAGGACTTGGACTAGATGCCGATGTTACACAATGCTACGAGTTCATCACCAACAACTACGCGCCGGGCGACGAGCTATTCTTTTTTGGATTCTCACGAGGAGCATTTACCGCACGCTCTGTCGCAGGACTGATTTCTAATGTCGGTGTTTTGTCAAGTCGCAACATGGTCAAGTTCCCCGAGTTGTGGAAAGCGTACCGTATGAACGCTGGTGGCCAGCTATTCCGGTCATCAAAGTGGTATCTTGAGAATGCAGAAAAGCTCGGTCTGAGAGTTGTTCAAATCAAGGCCATTGGCGTGTGGGAGACTGTCGGTGCTCTGGTGAGTGGGTGAATCTCCAATGTTGTATAATTCTGATCGAATTCCCGCAGGGTATACCGGAATGGCCGCTCGTCAGCAAATTACAATCCTTGGGTTTGCCAATCAACAAAGAGTTTGCATTTCATGACACTGCTCTTTCTGAAAGTATGTGTACATTAATATCTGAGGTCCTAGCCCACTGATCAGCTGAAAGATATTGAGTATGCGTTTCAAGCTCTTGCAATCGACGAGAAACGCTTTACTTTTCCTCCAACCATTTGGCACGCTTTACCAGGAGGGCCTTCCAAGGAGCTGAAGCAGTGCTGGTTTCCTGGGGTGCACAGTAACATCAGTGGTGGCGTGGCATCTGAGCCTGGTGCAGGCGATCACGAAGAGATTGGAGACAATACTTTTGCTTGGATGGTGAGGCAAGAATGCATCACACAGCGGAGTCCTGACTGATCTTTGCCGCAGGTGGACAACGTTTCCAATATGCTTACGTTTGAGGAGTCCTCGATCGATGCAATTGTCGAACATCACAAAACTGCCATTGAAGCAATTAAAGTGAAAGATGGGTGGGGATGTGGAAAGATTGTCGACAACTTTGCCGGAATCCAAGGCCTTTTCTTCCGTCTACTCGGACGACAGATTCGCACCCCAGGCGCCTATACTCAAGACCCCGGTGATGGTTCTCGAGGTGCCACAAACGAGAAATTCCACCCAATAGTTCGAGTGCGCAAAGCAAAGGTCGCATGGAATCCGCCGGCGCTGGCAGGTTATAATCTCGATGAGCCTGATGGCAAGGGGTCACCTTGGGTGTGGCGAAAGGATGGTGTACAGCCTCTTCCTGAATATGTCATGTGGCCTGATAAACGGATGAGTGTTTCTTATTGCAGGGATGGTCAGATCGAATACAAGACTGTGAAAAGTCTGTCGAGAAGACTTTGTCCAAGCAGTATATTGCAAGAGTTGGACGAAACGAATGCGATTGTGCTGGTCAATGGGGAGGCCTGATGGATTTTATAGCTGGTAGTCGTGTTGCTTCATGGCCATCCCGCGGGTCGTTGTGAGAGCGTTTGTGTATGGCGGGCTTGACATGGCTGGGTGGAGAATGCATGTAGACTGTCTCTTACTTTGAGCTCGACAGAGGATGAGGATTGATTGTTGTATGAATATGGAGGATGCCTTTGGATCTCCAGTACGCAGGCGTCATTTCCAGCATATAGCGCGCCCAACATGGTTCTAGCGTCTTGAAGTGATTCTAAAGCTCTGTTTTAATAGGTATTCTTACTAAGAAATGAGACGGTTACGGTGCGCTTTTAGCGACAACTCTGCAACAATCTTTTTTTAGTAGAACTAAGGTACACTACTTACGCTACCTCGGAATATAACCGTTCCGAGAGGTTAGCGGTAATTTTTAGTTATTATACGGGGGCTTCCGATATAGCCTCTTTATCTAGTATATAGATATAGTTCTAATCGATAGATTAATCGTAGAAGTAAAGTTGTCTAAAGCCTATATCTATAACTATATATTAGGCACTCCTTTTATATAGTAGATAGATCGAGAAGTAGATATACGCCTATATAATGCGTTTACGACTATTAAAGTAGTACTATATAGATATCTATTAAAGAAACGAACGAAACTACTAAAAACAACTCCTCTCTAAACTTGCGAAGTACCTACTATCTTTATTCTTATCGTAACCTTTTAGATTAACGACGCTTCGACCGATTACGCGTATAATTTGCGGGTAGTTTACTTATATTCTTAGATAATTACGAAACCTTCGAGATCGTCCGCTTATAGCTTAAACCTCCTAGGATAGGATGTTATTACTCTACTTCCTCGGTTCCTAGCTCTCCCTTAATTTCTAGCTCTCCCTTAATCTATAATTAAGTAAGTAGCTATCTTTACGATTATATAAGCTAGAAACGTATAAATATCTTACTAAACGAAGGTAGCGACTCGTCGTTACTATTATCGGTAGCGTTATACTCTATAGTAGTATTAACCTACTCTTTACTCTCCTATCGAATTTAGTATTAGACTTTATCTACTAACATTTATACGGAAAGATAGTATATATACTTCTAAGATCGGCTCTACTTTAACTACTAGCTTTAACTCTACCTTAACTTCTTACTTTACTTTCTTCTTCTTCTT